GCCCCGCTAATTCACATACGGTCAGGGTATTATTAATTAATACTCCCGTGATCTTGAATAGTGATCGGGGTATTATAAATATTACTGCTAAGTCTTTATTTTACCTGGCAACCCAAAACTATTAAATATCCAACCAATAACAAAAGCTACGACTATAATGAAAATTAAATCGTGCACAAGTCTTCCATCTAAATAAATATGGTTAATGAAAATAAATAATACATTATATAACATGTAATAAAGAAAATAGTTTAAATCACACCTTCATAGAACATTGATAAATCATTTGGGCGCATAAGAACGTATTCATTATTATCACGATCAACCAACATCATTACTTTGTTAGAATGGTGACGACGTGATTCTTCATTTTGAGACAGTTCAAGACTATATTTTTTTCCATCTTCATCTTCATCTTCTAATTTGACAACCATGTCAAGAGATCCTTGCATCTTAGAGCCATCTGTGAACTTGTGATTGTGCATGTTCTCCTCCAAACGATCAGCTTCGTTGCCTATTTCTTGCAGAAAGTTATTAACTAGATCAGAAGCCATATTTTCGTGGTGAAGACCATTATCATCATCCATTGTCACGTTGTGTGCATGATCATTTTTATTTACATATTGGTTCCACACTTGCTGCAGAAAATCAGTGCCATTAGTTTTCAGAGCATTATAATAAAATTTTAATAGAAGCCGCAAAGTTTCTGCTCTATAAGAAGAATTTAACACCTCAGTTGAATAATTATCATCAATTAGTTTGTCAAAAATATTAATTAATCCAAAAGTCAAATTTTTGAACGCTTCCGCTTGCAAAAGTTCATTATTTATCAAGTCTATTTTTACTTTTTTTTCAAGCGCGTTAATTGTTTCGTTTCTTTTAATAGTATCCCATTTTGTTCTTTTTAAATGTAAATAACGTTGATATTTATTCATACAGTCCGGTAAGAAACAATTTGGTGTGGATTCTGAAATCTTAAAAATTTTCAGTTACAGGTAATTTTTAAAAAGTTCATTGAAAAAATAAAGAATTACCTGTGTTTGCTCACTATCCTCGTGCGCATTCACCACTAATACTGAAAACTAATGGCACTGATTTTCTGCAGC